TTTGTACTCCAGTCACTTTTCACACAACTGTATAAATTAAACTCCCACCACGGGAGGTGGGAGTTATATCTGCATGTGAATATATTAATGCAAAGAAACAGGATGTAGCTTTCTTCAGGATGACCAAAAGTTCTATTGAAACATCTGGAGGGATCCTTCTAGGAACTGTTTATAGGAATGAAATGCGCCAGCACACTGCTGGGGCTAAACCAAGGTCCAAATAAAACTTTACCATTACAAAAAGCTTCAGTACGGATGTCAAACTGAAGCTGTACTGGTCTGCAGAGTAGCCTCCTTGCGCTTGTTGTCGTTGTCGTCGTTGTTGGTGGTGGTAGCGCTGCTAGGAAAGTATAAATGTATACCTACGTATACATTTTTCTGGCTCATAGAAAATAAAACCAGTTTTAAGTAGGTCTGCGCCTCAGCGGAACGCCAAACCAGCACCCTCCAAGAATTAGCAGCTGATTTGCCATAGTGGTTAGAAGACAGCCAAAAGACAGGAACTCAGTTCAAGCAACTTCTGCTTATGTGCTACACAGATTCTGCACTTGGCAATAAGGTCTGCCAAAACATAGCTACCCAAATAACCAAAAAGTGGCTGACTTCCTCTAGTGTAAAGACAGGAAGAGAAGGGCACCAGTTTAGTTCAGCGGGATGAGCAGGTGACCATATGCCATATGGCCAGAGAGCAGTAGGCCCGGGTTTGAGTCCCACCCGCGGCCCTTTGCTGTATGTCTTCCCCTATCTCGCTCTCTCCCCGCTTTCCTGTCTCTCGACACTGTCACTATCAACAAAAGAAGAGAAAGTAAGAAGCTGATGAAATGTTGCCATGGCTCCACAGTGCACTGTTTTTGTTTTGTATTTTTTAATTCAGTTTGTCTTCCAGGCTTGACTGTACAACAAGTCACTTGTTAAATCAGCACGTGTGTCTTGGAAGGCACACTTCCCAACATAATGAACAAGAACAACCAAGAAAGCTCACATGACTTTACCTAGTGGAACAGACCCGAACCTGGCTCAAAGGCACAGCAGACCAGTTCCTGAAATTTTCTTGGGCGTTAACAGGAAGGAGTTCAAAGACTTATGAAGCTGACACATCATACAGGACATGGTTCAAGACCATTTCCTTTGTGAAACTCCACTGTGTCAGCATAGTCTGTGGCCACTATTAAAAAGAAAAACAAGTTTGTTTTCCTCCTTTAAAACAAACACAACTGTCCATTATTGGCGCAAAGTTCAGGATGCATTGATGTGAAGGGGCCACTAAAAAAGGCAGATGGTGGTAGGGGCCTGGTTTTAGTAGAACATCTGCATCTGGGGAGGTGAGCAAAGTGTTGAGAAGAAATGTCTGGCTTTTCTTTGCAGAAATCCTTAAACCCCTTCACCCAAAGAACCAACCAAGCCTGCCTTTTTCAAGACTCCTTCAGAACTTGCCATTTTCAGGTTGTCAGTTGCTCGCTCCAAGAGTAATTGTAGTTGTTTCCCAGACTGAAGGAGAAGAAGAATGCTGTGTGAAATACACAGCCAGGCAGGCTTACACACTCTGTTATACATCATCGAAGTAAATATTACCCTGTCATCCTTGCACAAACTTACTGCAATGGCGAGAGACACAGTACTCTTCTGAAATGGCCAATCCAGCTTCTTCATAGCAGTCAAACACAAAGGTGGAAAGCATCCAGCTTTCCTGGTTGATTCTGTAGCTCAAAACTCACTGAACCCTTGACGGCAACGGCTGAAGAGAGGCAACCCATGTCAACTTTTGTTGTCACTACTCTTGTACTTACTGTAACATGATTTTTTTTTTTAATCTTCAGAAGAAACAATGTGTTCGACTGTCAAGACTGAAATAAGAAGAGCTGTCAGATGCAAAACCAGGAATTAAACCAGGAGGGGAAAACTGTAGGTGGGCTTCAAACAAAAAGAAAAATTTAAAGATGTGAGCAGCTTGGAAAACTTGTTTCTCACAGATGTCTGGTACCTGTGGAGATCTGAGACTAAAGAGAAAGTACATGGAATAATGCAAAAACGATGATGACATCACTTTTGAATACATTTTAAATGACTGCATTACTATTAATGTTTAGCTTTCTACACAAGTAGATTTCTTGAGTACCTTTATATGTCCTGGGGTGGTCAGGTGTATCTTGTACAGGGTATCACCCCTTAAGGATTTTTCACAGATCTTGATTGAGAAAGAGCAAAAAACAGATGAATTAATAACAATAAGCTGACAGACACAAATAGACACACTAAATTAAGCCTTATTCTGTATTTTAGTTACAAAAGGTAACTTAACTCTAAACTATATGACCACTTTTAACCCTTGAATACTGTTCATTTTATATGCTTTCATACTATAGTCTGTGTCAAAATTGAACTGGGCCAAGAATTCCTTCACATCAAGTGTATAAAACAAATTCTAATATACATATCTTTATAAAGTATAAATAGTCTATCTGACATTAATAAAATGATGAATAGTCCTTAATTGATGTTTCAGAGAACAGGGTGAGTGTTTTTTAGATTTTACAACACTTATATTTGGAGAAAAACATGAGATATCACAAAATATGATGACCTATTTTACCTAAGGTGAAAATGTAGCACCTGTAATGTTTAAAAGATATTATAATGAGATGGAAAGAATGTTACAACCATTAAAACACTCAACTCTTCATTCTGGATCATATAAAAATCCTTATGACTACCATATATCAAAACAAATTTATTAAATACTTAGAGCAGGTACTTAGCATGTGTGGGACACATTTTAGCTTTTCGTGTACAACTGGGATTTTTGAAGACCTGCAATGTAAATGTGTCTGTCTTAAAAGCACTTTGAGTTAACTTCTATTTAAATGTGCTATTGGCTATAAATAAAACAGATTTGATGGTTAACACAAAAAGGTTCAGACATTTTTCATAGTGCATGTGTTCATGATTTTACAAGATTCATTTGGCTACTTACTGAACTTAGAAGAGAAACAAATAGCGCACTAGTATCTGGTATATCAATACCAGCGTTGTTATCGATACTACAGATATTTGGATCGATTCGCCCACCTCTACAACAAAGGCAATTTTCGTGACTGAACGAAGGTTCCTCTGCCACCTTTGTCACGTAAAAAATACGCACAACTTGGTATATACAGTTTTAGTTTCAGGGTTGCCTAAAATCAACGTTTCTTTGATTTCCCCCACAGTGATGGATCCAAAATCCTTCTGAGTAAATACGCGACCCAGATCCATTCAAATTTTAATTTTATTTTTGCCTCACTTCATGAAAAGTCATGACATTTTCAAGCTAAAAGAATCACATGCTGAATCACTGCAGTCAAACGTAAAAAAAAGATGGAATTTGACCCGAACAGTATGCAATGGTTAAAAAGAGCAGGACTAATTCACGTCCAATGTCATATACCTCCAGAGGCTAGCTAAAAACGTTAGCTTTTCTCGCGGCACGCTTAATTTTTTCCGGGAACCTCGCTTTCGCCAAATTATTACATGTCTCTCAGCTAACTTTAGCATGCTTACCTCGCATTCAATAAACGCGATATCCTCCTCCTCATATGGCGTTTCGAAGTTATCCATCATGAACTTTAATCAGTGGCCGTACCCTCTAGAGGTAAAGCTACCTGCTTAGCGACTGTTTACTAGCTAAATCGCCTGAGCCAAGCTAGTTAACTGTTGTTATCAGATGGTAGCAAGCGTTGTTGTTGTAACACTAGCGAATTGGCGTGTTTTGTTTCTTTTGTTTTCTATATTAAATACTGTGCATCATATCCAACAAATGTTTACACAGCTATTGTATTATTAAGAAACTAGGGGGAAAATAGATTCGTCTTCCTGGTTGATGGGCGGACGCTTGCGCTAAGAAACCCACGTGACCGGGGCTGTCGCCACAGCCGCGGAACCACACCGGCGTAAAAAAGGAACTCCCCCTGGTGTTCACATATTTAATTGCACTCAATAGCACATACTGCAGATGAGACGATAAAACATTTGTGCACTTTGTTTATTTGGTTCTAAGCATTTGCTTCATATTTACAAAAACAGCTTGTTTTTTTCCTTTTAAGTCTGGCTTTGGAAACCGGGACACTTCTCAAGCTGTGTGAGGCATCTGCACAGCATTCAGGAGACTTCCAAGCTAAAACTATGGAGCGATACAGTAAACAAGACAACAAAACCCATTATCTCACCCTTTCCGTACTGTGGATATCTGACATAGCTCATTAATTTGAATGAGCAACATTTTCTTCACCATGTTGACACAATTACAAACCAAAAGCACTTATGACAAGGAGCAGGTACAACTCCATATTTACATGCAAACTACAATATGTACACTGACCAATGATTTACATTCCCCTTTCACAAACAGTAAATCATAAATACACACTTGGGTTTGCTTTAAGGAACATGGCTTCCTACTCAGTTTCAGACATTTGAGGCTATTATTACAAACAAACAAGGATCTATAACCCATAACTTAAGACAGTTAAAGGGAACGTAATGCCAGCAGAATACTGCAAATTAAAATGAATGATCACACTAGAGCGATGTACTCTGATGCATTATCTTAATCAGTATAAATAAAAAAATATCACACCAGATTCATCCATACAACTGTAAAGCTGGAAAGTTAGGCAGCTGGGGCCAAAGCACAACAGGCCTGTGTCGGGATGATTTTAAATCTTCTAAATGATAATAAGATGTTTATGTTCATAAACCCACGTGGATAAATAATTGGCTGTAGACAGAATGAGAACCACAGATTACTGCACAGAGACAAAGATACACCCCAAAGTCAGGAACAGAGGACTATGGCAAGGTCACAGATCAAATATTAAACAGGCGTCTGATCAGATGCGTCAGTAGCACGGGAGGTGAAGTCAGTTCGAAGAGTTGTAGTGTCCTTCTGGGAGATTGTTCAGACGTGATCGTAGCTCCTTTCGAACCTGGGTGACCCTCGCCAGTTTGCGTTTGTATTCCTGAAAAAGTCCACAATGACAGACAGCCATCAGACGCCAAAGATCCTGCAGTCTGAATCACACCGATTTATGGTGTTGGGTTTTTTTTCCCCCCTAGTCTCAGTAGCAGTATTACATGAGATAAATACACACACACTGTAATTTTAATTATAATTTAATATAAGAAACAAGTGTTGAATGTGCGCTTCATGGATTACAGACCAAGAGCAGCTTAAAGCTCCAGTTAAAGTTCAGATTTAAATTCATGTATTTTAATTAGTGGCCACCACTAAACAGTGTGTCAGGGTGTTTTAGTTTTATCCAAACACCCAAATCATTCAGCAAAAATGCCACGCTCTTTCTCTCCATGTTTATGAATGACTTTGCTCGACTTAGATCAACCTCCACTGTAATGAGCCACACTAAAGGGCACCAAAAAACATTTACCTTTGCAACAGCTTTTTGTTCCCCCTAATAAAAGACTGGCCACACAAACTGCATGCAAAGTACAGTGTAAGGTACTGAAAACAGGACTGCATGTGGACAAAATGATTTCACCTGATCCATGTATTTGATGTTTTTCCCCACCTTAATCTTGTCACATTTTACTTTCTGTGCCATGTTTCTCAAATGTGTTCAGTGACTATATCTGCCAGCCAATGCATGCAGTGTGTGTAGGTCATCAGTACTTTTTCAGCATAGATAACAGAAATGTCCAAATGAGGGAAGGGGAGAGGAAAAGAAAAAAAACCAACTATGTTCTCTTTGTGTCCCATCGTGTTGCAAATGACATAAATCTCTTCAGCAAGCATAAAGCAAAAGTACCAAGAAAGATAAATGAACAAGATTTTAATAAAATTTGAATCTCATTAATTTATGTTTATTAATCATGACAATGATTATTATAAATATCTGATCTACATCTCCCACTAATCAGAAAATCCTAAAGTGTATAACTGCCAGTTACTGTCAACTCCACAACCAAAAGTACGTTTCATAAACCACCTTCCAACCTGAATAAGAGGGTAAACTGTAGGTGTTCAAGCACAAAAAAAGGACTCACAAAATCATTTTCACTTTTTATTTTCAGACTTTTTTTTTTTTCTTTTTTTAAAACAAAAGGTATTGGACTGAGTGACGATACAAAGATGAGACGTGGGATCCTTGTGGTGCCCTGTAGATAAGATCTGAACAATTACCGTCAACGTGAAAAGCACAGCTTTGAGCAAACAAGAAAACTCAGTGGTTACATTTTTAAAGCTCTAACGGGTTCATTTTGATTACTACTTACCTCATAGGCAGGACACACTGAGTGAAATGAGCAGAAAGAAAAAGGCTCAAAGAGAAAGCCAGTGACGAGGGAAAAGATAACTTAGACATTAAGTCTGCATCTAATCGAGAGGCTTCCCCTCAGTTTGCACATCAGCAGGGCTAACACTAAAAACATGCAGGGTAGCTTTATAATAAAAAATAAAAATAAAAAAAAGCATGACAGAAAGCGTGCAGCATGCTGAGAAACTTGTAAAAATACTTATAGAAATTTGTGCTCAAACGTAATTTGTCCACACAGCACAAAAAGATGAACACCAAGGAGAGGTGAGGCAGACAGGACGCACACAGACGTATAACAGAGAAAAACTTATTCACGCACTTCAAGTTTCTGCTCATTCTGGGCCAGGCCGTCCTTCTGGCTCTGCAGGAAGACCGTTAGTGTGCGCGTGAGCTGCCTCCTGTCGTCAATCTCTGCCGCCAAGCGGCCGCTGTAGTCTGCTAGCAGCATGCAGGCCTCCTCCACCAGCCGGGAAAGTCGCTCTCCTGATTCTTTATCTAAAGCACAGAAAGCACAGAGAGAGCAGAGAACAAAGCCTAAATGCACGTCACTCAGTTATGCATCAATCCTGGAACAATGTAAACAGCATCTGTATAATCAGTGCCAAATCAAACCTTCAATTTGTTTCTGCTGAGGTCAAGGCAAGGGCATTGTCAGACAGATACGAGGGAGACTCAAACACACAAACAATCATGTGTCATGTAATCAAATCTGTAGACGAATACTGAGTGCTGTGTGCTACACATTCATGTAAATGATCCCTCTTTGTCATAAGGTCAATATCTTTCAGAGCCATCCCCTCTGTCCCATAAAGAGCATTATAAGCCTGCAGGTATCCTTCAGAGCGAAAGAATGTCAGTTGCAGAAGTGAGTGTTTGTTTGGCCCAACAAGGACGTCCAGGCGACTGCATATCCCATGTTTTTGTCTCGACTCTCCCTTGTTTGTGCACACCTTATTTCCTCTGAAATACAGTCGTGACAAAACTAAATACACCCCATGATTCAAAAGTTTATATCAACAAAGATGCGGTTTTGATTAACATTAGAATAGTTTTCAGGTTATTCCAACGGACAGAGTCCACAATCACTACTTCTGATGCACACCCGGTCATTTTGTTGTGTAAGTTGGTCTGAAGTATGAAAGAAACCAAACCACTCAGTTCAGAAAAGAGCCTCGAAGCTTACTCCTAAGAGGCTTTCAATGGGAAAAGAGTAAAGTAATCATTTCTTTTAAGACTTTATCAGTCTCTCATTTTGTCTGGCGGTATATTGGCCCAATCGTCTTTACGTTGTTGTTGTTTTAGTTCATTAAGACTTGAGGCAATTGTTTACACACAGCTCTCTGAGGGTCCCACCGCAGCAGTTCAGTCAGGTTCATGTCTGAACTTTGGACTGCAACACCTTGAATCTTATTCAGCCTCTCCGTTTTAAAATTTGCTGCAGTGTTTGAAATCATCATCCTCTTGCATGATCTGATTTTAGACAGGCTTTAGTTGGTGGACAGTTAGAGTGCACAGCTAACTAAGCAAGCCAAATCTTTAACTGCCTGATAATAAAATAGTGAGAACTGCTAGATTGTCTCCCAGCAGAAAAAAGGGCATGACAACTTCAAACAGGAAATGGCCTTAATTCCCAGATTGCTGGCCAGGAACATTTGCTTAGAACAACTGTTCTAAGATCATTGTTGATGTTTTTCCTCCTTTCCTTTTATAGAGGTCCTCACGCTTGCTAATGATCAGTTAATTCCTGTGGAAGCACTAAGAGTATACTTAATTTTTCACAGGAATCTAGATGTTAAGTGTTTTCTGTAATGTGCAGTATATCAGAGTGGTTCAACAACATTTTCTCAGTCTAAACAACACAGGTTCTGTCTAAAGTTCGGTATAAAGTGCGCAGAGCTTCCTTACCTGTGATCCTGTGAAGCAGTGACGTGTCCTGCACCTCAGCAGGAAGGGAGGAGATGCGCTGACGCAGCACTGAGTCGCCAGAAGCAGCGTTCTCCAGCTCCTGCAGAGCTCGGATTAACTCTGCCGTCTGAGGTATAGCGAGCATGATAAAGGCAAGAGGTGAGGGGGGAGCAGAAGAAGGTATTTACACTCAGGAGGAGACACAAAGGCAAACATGAAAACACAGACAGCTGTAAATCATTAACTAGCATGTGTGTGGATCAAAGTGTTATATGATTAGCACTCTGTATTTATAACTGCTCTGTATAACAAGGACAGCACCTGTGGGGGCTCGGTTGGAGAGCTCTGGGAGGCAAAGCCTTCATCATCTGGCTGGATCTCCTCATATGACCTCTTCTTTGTCTTCTTTTCTCCATCTAAGATTTATAAAAAGCAAGATAAGCAAAACATAACAAGTCAAAGTCCAGTTTGAAGGTGTGCGTTTTATGTATTATACTACATCTTTATCCACTTTAAAGCCACAAGCCTGATTAGCTGCATGTTTAGAAATGAAGTAAACATTTGTAAAATAGTGCAAGTAAATAATATAACTATGCTTATCAGGTTTAAACCTCTAGGCACACAGCACACTTGCTATAATTGAATGGTAAGCACTACTGACAAGCCGGTACAGGTTTTGGCTCGTTGAACTTACACAGGACTTGCGAGAGCTGATCGAGCAGGTTATTCTCATACACGGCTCTCTCCTGCCAGATGGATAAAACCCGACCCAGCTGTTTCTTACAGCCCTCCTCACCATCTCTGCACGGGAACACACAGGAAAGAAAAGAAAGAAAGAACACACGCTTTAAACACCTTTGCAAACCTGAAGTCAGGACTGGACAAAATTTAGTTTAAAAAAAAAAAATCAGTTCTTGGATAGAAATTCTTTAAATGGGAAAATATTAGGGATGCACCTCATTTACCGCCACAGGCCAACTGGCCACTTCTGTCACATTTTTTTTTTATGGAAATAAGTTCAAAGATGGACAGCTGATGGCCAAAATGTCATTTTAAACATTGTAATCAGCTCATAATACATCAGTGTGTGCATCCCTAGAACATACAGTATGTGTGTGTTTATACACGTCTTCTCATCAAGCCTACTTATGGCTGCCACCCTCAACCAGTTCTAAAATGTTACTTAAATTTCATACATTTAAAATCCAAAATGATGACAAAATGAGAAAGTTGACATCAGGACAACCATCCATGCCTTTGTCCAATAAAAACTGACCTGTACACATGTTTGAATGCATCAACGATGACTGGAGCAAAGTCCTGGGTGAACTCTGGTCCTTTCCTCTTGCTGTTTTGGATGACGTCATTGGCCAAATACAGGAAGGTCAGCTTGCGCGATACCTGAGCTGCACATGTTTGACAAAAAACAAAGAAACACACATAATATCTGATTATGATTTACAAAAAGGTACAACACAACAATGCCTATTAATGGGCAAGCGCATTTTAACCACTAAAGAACTAAAAAAAAAAAAAAAAAAAAAAAAAAAAAAAAAATCAAAAAAAAAAATCAATAACATACAAAAAATGAAATAGAGCTGATTTAAATCTTCAGTTTTTTATTATTGTATATGGTATTTTATTCTATACAGTTGTGTACAGTATCTTATTCTTATTCTATTCCAGTGTTCTCTAATTTTTGCTATATAACTTTGCACTGTCCACTTTGTGCTGTAACAAAACAAATTTCCCACATGTGGGACTAATAAAGGTCATCTTATCTTATCTTTAATATGCAAAGCCACGTTTAAAGAATTCAAGATACTCGTTATGCTTCACTATAAGCAGGGCTATGACCTTTGCTAATTTAATATGAGCAATGCACCAGATGCACAGGCGAACTGTGCAGTCACATCAGCTGCATGATGCAGAACAAGGTGGCCCTGCAGAAAGAATAATTAATAAAAAAAATAAATAAAAAATTTAATCTGTGGATATTATTTCACAAGTTTAGTGCACGATATGAAGAAGCAATCTGACAAAAATGCATGTTCAGATTTGTATGCCCCAGGATTTTGAAGGCATCAAAGAGATCAAAAACAAAAGCTGATTCTTCTTACTATTTTTAACAATAGAGCACTGGCTCTTGCCTGACTTTGTTCTGGAGAAGCCGAGTGCCCGATTGAGTTCCAGTGAAGGATACTTACACCCCCCCCCCTTCTCGGTTTGTTGTTTTTATTATAAACTAACTGATGCACAAGCCTTTGTTGTTGTTGGACGAGACACAGTCGACACTGAGGTGAGTGTAAAGCTCCGTGGAGAGCCATTTCTATCCCCACTTGCCATTAACACTGGTCTCAGTCACCACCCAAAATACCTCACCCACAAGAGGTATCATTAGGTTGTTGACTAGCACCCCGAGGAAAAATGCACCATTATTAGCTACAATTACACTAATGCCTGATGTCCCTACAACCCAACTCACTGAATAAATTCAACAACTCCATTATGTACCGTCTACTTAATAAACTTTGTGAACATTTTCTTATTAAAAAAAATATATATATCATTGACAGTCATCAGATACTATGAAAATCAGAAAAAAGCTAGATCCACCAGTCATTGCTTATATTTTAATCACACAACAATGTTCAATAGATTCTTTCTCCAGTGAAATGATTGACACAGCTAAATGAGCCAAAACAAAAAAAAGCAATGCAATTAAAGAATAAATATGCACTTACTCTTAAAACTGTTTCATATGTTTAATTAAAACAATGCCATGTGGTTCGTTTAACATCGACACGTTTACTTATTATGCTTCTCCTTATATAATATATGCACCATTGCAACTATGTATCTTTTTAAAATATTATTATTTAGTGCTTTTCACTTTTATTAGGTGGTGCATTGATGATTAGAGAGGAAAGTGAGTGCGTCTTGTATGTGGTCATCTCAAGCAAACGGCTCTGGCTGTGAGCACAATCTTCACCCACGTGCTAGTCAAAGCCTATCAGAAGAAAGCTGGCTTAAAGCAAAGCTATACTGTGTATGAATTGCGGTGATTTATCAAGGGTTAGTATAGGATTATTTTGATGGGTTAATCACGCAAAGCTACTGTAGCAGAGCAAAGAAATGAGCATAAGTGGCTTCCTTTATGTTTTATAGTAAAGCTCATTGTAACTGTTGATGTGGGTTTAATTTAAAGCTATTCCCTCAGGTGTTATAAAGTTTAATTTAGTGCAGCTTTAACTGATCGAGACTTACTTATTATAAGCAAAGAGGGGTCGACTTCTTAAGCCTTTATGGAGGAGATTTTCTAACACAAACACATTTAAGGGAACACACGTTGTCGTCACTTTTCGACAATGCTACTTAGACAAAGCAGTGAAAACCTTTGGCTAGTGACCGAAAGTTGCCAGCCTTTAGCAGCCACCGTGCTAACAGGGACTCGGTGTTTTAACTTTAACAGCAGTTTGGTCTGGCAGTTTTAGCCAGAGCTAGCCTGCAGCTACATGTTACTCACTCTCTGAAGCATGCTCGCTGTGTTTGTTTGGAGGAACTCCTCGGCTCTCACCAGCCTTACCTTTTTTCAGTTCGTTGAACCAAACGTTGACAATGGTCTTCGAGTGTTTTCTGTGGTGGATGAGCCACAGCGACAGTGTCTGTACACTTTGCTGAGAGTTGCTAAGCTCGGACAGTTTCTTCTCTAAAGCCGCCTCGGAGAAAGCTGACATCTCGGCGAGATTAGGGGAGGGAGTGCGAGGCTAGACGCTGGGAGAGGCTGCCGTAAGGTTTCTCCCAAATGTGTGGACTACAGCACGCTAGCCGGTCACAGGGTCTTTGCAGGAGTTTCAGCCATCCAAACTAAATGTCGCAACCTGACTCTGCTACACAAAAGGATGGCTGGTAATACTGACTAGCTATCTCCGTCCTCTCTGTGACTGCTCGGTTGCCTGTGCTTGGGACTGCTTCTTCCTCCTTATCTTAATGGCAGCTGGGGATAAAACTTTTGGTTACCTTAGCGCCACCTTCCGGACTGGAGTGCGGGTCGCATTGGTTATTATGCTAACCAACGTTAATATGCTTAAAATCTGAAGTTAAATACAAAAAATCTGCAATATTCATCTACCATTAAATGGTAATTCATTTTTCTGAAATGCCCATTTAAATATCAATCTCTATTGTTAATATATTGGACATCAGAAACATGTAATTCCACAAATTTCTTTACTATCCAGACTGACGAGTATTACAGTCTAAGATTCATGATGTCCTCCTCCTCTCAACTTTTACTTCTGCCTCTTATTCCTCCTACATTTCTTAGGAGGCCACTGCAGTGATATAAACCTGTGTTTATTTTCTTCGTGATCACCTCTGTTGTACAATCAATCATATGCAGATATTTTAAAGTTGAGTACATGATATTGTGTTGTTCCTGTTCCAATCTATTGCCCAAAGTTTACATGCATCTGCATAAACATTAATATAATGTATTTTTTAATGTATTCACTGTTCATAATAAATATTCTGTGCATATAGAAATTAGTTACTATCTAGCACTACCTGGATTTACTGGAAGTGTGATTCACATTCATAGATAGCTCACAAATTTAGTACATGCCGTTTCCATAGGAGCCAGGTGCTGCTAATCAAATGCACTTGATTAACTGATCATCAGCAAGTGTGAGCACCTCTATATAAGCAGAGGTTTTGGCAATTTACTGGTAGGCAACTGATCTGTGTTAACACAATGCCACAATCAATCCAGCAGTAAAGAGCCCCAAAAGATTTGTGTCCAGTGTTGCTGCAAAGAAAAGATACAATTTCAAAAAGACTGAACAAATGTGGCTTGTTTGAAATGGTCGCCAGGAGAAAAGAACACGGCAGCACAGCTTAGGTTTGCAAAGTTGCACCACAAGACCTCAGAACTGAAAAGATGAGCTTGCACAGAAAGCCACTACGTTATTGCTGATAAACATGGTTCTGCAAGGTATTGAATAATGGGCGTACTACAGAGTCAAACTTACTCCAAAGCAAACACAGAACCATTAACGTGTTTTAATATTTACAGTAAGACTGGCTTTTTACAGTGATCTGCATTAATCGCTGAGTGGACAAAGTTTGTGTTTCCTCGCTGAATTTGAGCAAGCTTGTGAGTATTACGTCACAGGACATTACATAACCTACCGTGACTGCTTGAAAGGAAAAATAACAAACTCTTTTGTTTGAACCTGCAAGGAAAACGATATTTGGTCACATAATTGGTTAAAGTTCAAACTCTACTGGTGCAAAAAAATAAAAAATAAAAATTCAGCCACACGGGTCAGAACTGTTTTAAAAAACTGTTTTTTAATTTCATAAAAGCAGTCAAACATATCTCAATATTTCTCCTAAAAAAATACAGTGAATCCACTTAAACCTAATGTGATGTTTCACACATTTGTCTTGTTTTCTGGAGTTAAAAAGGCATAAATGTAGATTTCAAAAAACAAAAAAAAAAACAAAAAACTGCTGTAACGGTCAAAAACAGAAAACAAATAGCCAGTTTGAACAACTTCATAACAAACACAATAAAAGAATAAAAATATACACACAGGCAGCTGTTTAGTGTTTACGGGCACGTTTCTCAGCCTTCACTGAATGTGAACTTGGAAATACACGAGTGAGTTCTATTTAAATGCAGTATCTTCAATTCTTCTACTTCTCTTATAACGAGTGGATTAGTGGATAAGGAGTGCTGTTTCACCTCATTGGTGCTCTTTGACTTTCAGTCTCCACAAAGTTTAAACCTAAAAGTCCCAGCAGACAAAAAAAAAACACAAAACAAAACACGACACTGCTTATATTACTGTACCTCCATTAGCAGGCTCACATTCATTACAGAAATCAGCAGAACTATAATAAAAAAATAAAAAATGTCACATTGCAAGTAAATCCCCCGCTGGACCATCCAAATGTGATTTGATTCAGCTGAAATACAGATCAGTTTGGGACGCAGCACACTGAGGTTTAGAAGGTTGGCTGAAGGCATAAGAGTGTGTTAGACTCCAGTCCGTACCACTGCTGCAGACCGGAGGGAGAAAGTGCCGGCCAGGGTTTGCCAGAGAGCCAGTGTTGTAGCTGGGGTAAGACATCCACCCACGCTGTCCTTGACTGGCTTCATAAGATGTAGTCGGTATCCCATAATTGTGTGGAGCTGCCTGGGCACAGTCATTGGTGAGCGCTGTGTAGTGTGCAATGCTGCCGCTGTACACACAGGGATCTACTGATTGAGTTAGCATGTTCACACCAGCACTTTTTATATAAGGGCCCAGATGACCCCACACATCGTAATACCCACTTACACTGCCCGTCTGAAGACTTGCATTATCGCACGGCATGTGCGGATTCTGAAAGTGTTGTTGGTAATAATGTGGACCAGCGTCTATGCGTGCCTCTTCTCTCAAACCCTGCTCTCTTGTTCCATTCTTATCCTCTGCAGCTGGCTTATACCCCTCCTCAGTCCAACACTCCCTATGTCCGTAGGAAGAGTTAGAGGAAGATGGCACAGCAGGAAACACTGCTTCATTATGCATCTCTTCATTTTCCCACTTTTTAGAAGATATCTCGGCTGACTTTTCTTGGTCGTCATGATGCCTGTTCTCCCTTCTTTCCCAGTAAACATAGTCGTTTCTCCCTGTTATGTCTTCAGACTGACTGACGTGCACGCCGTCACTGACATAACCATCTCTGTTTTGAAAATGGGGGATTGTAAAGTTTCCTTCTGGCGTGTACCCACCAGTCTCTGGACCTCCATCACAGGGGCTGTGCTGTAGTGGAGAGGTTTCTGCATGGTTTAGTTCAGATGACAAACCATCACAGTCTAACTCCACAATCTCTGACCCCGGGGAGGACGTGAGATCTAAATTAAAGGGAGGGGATGTAGCTGATGGAGGGAGGCTTTTGCTGCTGAAAGACATCCTCTTCATCAGTAATAAACCTTTGGTAATAGGCAGGCTGACATTAAAAACAGTCTCTCTCTTTGCTTTTACTCTTTTCTTCCTCTTTGACTTCATTAAAGTGCATTTCTCTGACATGCCTTCAGCAGATGTCTGGTTCATGCTCAGCCCTTAGACATAAAGAAAAGAATAAGTTAAAAGCAGTTTGCTGAGAAAGTGTGAACTCTAGCTTGCAAAGATACAAACCTTTGGCATCTATTTCCTTTTGTTTAATGTCAGCACCTTTCCATCCAGATTGCAGCATCTTTATGCCTGGAAAACATCCAAAACAATACAGTGGCATACAAAAAAATAAAATAAAATAAAGAAATGCAAGGAACACTGGGTGGGGAAAAAAGTATTCAAGTGGGCATTAATGAATACGAGAAAATCTAGAGAGCCGACATCCCTGACAAGTGGGAAACTGCACTGAACAAAGGACACACTCTGCATGGTGAGTGCCAAAGATGCACTGACAAAACGTGAGTCAGGCAAAATTCAGACGGCATAAAAGTTACACTTCTCTGTAAAAATCCAGTTATAGCATAACTGTACACATAAGTATACAGTTGTATATGTACGTATATGTATGTACATACACTCGCTTACATTTTTAAATAAGTGGTGGTAAAGGTTCCACAACGTCTTTTGACATTTTTAAATTGGTTGGGATGTTCAGGAATGACCCAGGAACACATTCACGGTCCACAGGTTTATACTGCAAGAAAGAAACCTGTGCTCCAAAAATTGACACCGTCAAGCTGAACATAAAACCAAAGCGTTTTATGGTCAGAAAAATTGAGCTGTTTGCAGCTATGAAGGTGAGGTTTTCAAACCTGAGAGCATGGCACCAACTTTCAAGTATTGTGGTGGTAGCACATATTTCAACTTCACCTCAAATTAACAGCTAGATGGTTCAAATTGAACACAGATGTGCCAATAATATAATGGTTCAAAAAGTTAATAAAAATTGGTTTTGGGGATGGATAAAGCAGGCTAATATTAAGCTGCTGGAATGGCCTTCCCGAAGTCCCGACCTCAACTAATTTGTAAATTTGTGGACTACACTTAAAGCTGGTTCTGTGCCAGGAAACAAACAGATTTAAATGAACTCAAAGAATCAATCACTTCACCCTGGAAAAAGAACAGTTCAAAGAAATCATTAAAAGCCCAGAAATGCCATGATATTCATGCCCAGGATGACTGGATGTAACCTTCTTCTCTTTTTTTTTTTCCTCCTCCTTAAAAAAGATTTCTGACCACAACTGTATTTAGAATATAACACTTTCAACAAATCACTGAGTGGGTACCTGTGTCTGTGCCAGTAGAGCAACTCTACGATATGTCTATTTTGTCCTGCTTTTTAACTGAATGCTTCAATAATGACACGTCAGGAAAAAAAAGCCTGTTTTTTGCAGTGGTTTGATCTATCACAGACCTGCTGTCAAAAAAAAAAAAAAAAAAAAAAAAAAAAAGGAGGCAGGTAAATGTTATACTTACAAGAGCAGAGATGTAGAAAATGTAGTGAATGGTTTATGGCCAAGCAAAAGAAAAATAACCCATACTTACACCAGTGGTAACTTTTGCCAGTGAGTAGCGCACAAAGGTTTTCTGGAACATGCACTACCTGAGAACATGAGAGGTTTATAAACTAAAGGACAGACGAGTACAGGTGAAACCAAGACTGTTTGGGGGAAAAGACACTGAGAGTCACGTCACATGTGGCAGAATCCCAGCAGGAAATTCTGTGCTGCAAAGAAAAAGGGATACCTTCAACTCTCCTCGGCCCGTTTCTCGCTCCACTTTCTTTGCCAAAGACTGAAGAAGGTGAGGTTTGTCTTTAAGCTCCGCAGTCACCTCCTCAGGATGAGTTTCCATCTATAAAAAATTATATTCACTAACTTTAAACTATACTTACCTCGCTTTTTGCATGCATAATACTAAAGAACCTTTGCTATAATCTATTCTGGTAACTGATCCAGAACAAACAGACCAAGTAGTTGATGAGGTGTGAGGGGCTGGTCAGGTGTTCAGTGATGTCCTTCTTGTTGGATTTGATGCGGCAGCAGTGGCATAAGAAACAGTAAGAGCAGCCATCTTCACTTCTATACTCGACCACACAGTCGAGACCTGTTGAAAACATGAGAAACAAAAAAATAAAGAACATTTCCATTTCATGGGAATTACGATCAGCAGCTGGGGTTCGAGACTGGAGTTTGACTGTGAGATGAGAAACTTTACTGGAGAGGCACATGAAAGAGTTTGCGGTCTGCCACAACCGTGCAACTTCAAGGCCTTTTTTTATTATTATTTTTTGGGTTTTTTTAACTCTTTTGGTGCCATTCTTTGTGTGTTCTCACCTATGAGAGTCTTGGTTCCAGTGTAGTCATCAGGAAAGCTGCTGGTGTGCTCTGAAAACAAAGGGTTCGGGAGAATCCAACTGGGATGTGAACGGGTTGACTAAGTAGACCTCTGACTTAACAGAAGGATCAAAGTTTGCATGCATCAGCTGCGGTGCTGGCTTGTTAGTGTGCGCTGAGATCTTGCCTGAGTTTGTGTCAGCCTTGAAGGATTTCTTGGACCGTGTGGGCTGGTTCTGTGCAAACACTACAGTCCTCTGGGATTCAGTGGGATAGTGCAAAGCTGTAGTCTCTGGATAACGCTCAGTTTCACCCTGTGCATCTCTTAAGGAACCTATGAGAGTTACTGCTGCAGTATCAGAGAGATGAAAAGATACTTATGAAGGGAAAAATAATCACGTGCATGCAGAAAAATTGCCAAAAACATAAAAAGTGAGAGTAATCAAGAGAAGACAGTGAGATGGGGAAAGAACAGTCAAACATTCACTGACCGTCATTTTCACTGGATGTTTCCATCCTCTGGTATACACCATCTTCAACCTCTAACAACTTCGTATGAAGGTGCAAAAACATATGAGCATCCACAATAATTTGCAGTTTATGACTACAAGAAAGCACGCACAATAAAAGCAACAGACCTGGATGTCTCCCGGTCCCTCTTTTTCCTCAAGCTTCTTGGCCATCTCCATCAGCGGCCACGCCAGCTTGGACAGGTCGGAGCTCTCCTGCCATTTAGATACCAAGTGAGGGTGCCAGGTTTTCTTTTAAAAACAAACAAACCATAATCTGTTAGTAAAATCCAACGCGGCACATGATCTGCTGTCACCAATCCTTCTCCAGTACTACTTACAATGTAGTTGAATCTGTGGAGACTTCCCAGTATGTGGTTACGCATGTCAGCCTTACTGAGGCGACACACGCACGCCCCACACACGTACAGCGCTTCTGTGCTCCACGCACCAGCCTTCACACATTCTGTAATGCAGCCCAAGCCTAAGTGCACATTAAAAACACATATTACTTCAGCACACACTGAATAAAGAACCGTTTACACACTAAAAGTGGGATTTGCTGCGGCACACCTATTATGGGTTGTAGTCTCTCCTTGTTGCTCAGGTACGCCTTCAGAGAATCCAGCAGCTGGCTTCTTCTTAAAACACCTACAAATGGAGGAATTACAGAAAGAGAATGGGCTATATGCAGCAGGCTTACATACAGTTAGTAGAAGGCATGACTTACCTGGCTGCATGCTGCAACTGTAGAAAAACACCACCTGAAAACCCAAGATGGAGTTTAAGTTTCAAAGCAATGCTGGTTTGTTCACCTCATGCAGAGTTATGGTAGAGACACGGGAGATGTCTCCTGGTAGGGAGGGGGATTCTCACACTGTGTGTGTGTTGGCTAATCGCTCTTTGGGAATCTCCTTGTTGGTACAAAAATACAATTTTTGTCAATCGCGGTGTGTTATCGTTGGCATTTTTATAGATTCAACTAAAGGAATGGGAACAAATTACAAACCCAATTTAAAAAACAAACAAACTCTGGATGCTGTAAATAAACGAGTTTTTTTATTAGTAAAATATAAATAAAAATGCAATGTTATAAACCTACATGTTATTCACAACTGAAATTAAAGCATGAAAGTTTAAACAAGTTTTGACTCTTTCACTGAAAAGAAATTCAGCTCGTTTTCAGTTTGACCGTAGCCAAACTCTAGTCCACACTTTTCAGATGCTCACAGGAGAAACAGCTCACGGGCTACACTTTCTGCTCAGATGCTGCTAAATGTGGACCACGCTTCACAGTCCTAATAAATAATGACCCCAAGCACGCTGCAAAAGCAACCTGAGCTTTTCAAAACAAAGAACAGGTAACACAGCTAAGGCAAGTGTCGGACCGATTGTCCCTCCCTGATTTTTGGATTCTGACCTGGTAAAAGAAACGACTCGAGACAGAATGCTTCAATCCAACAATTCTTTATTCACCATGTACCTGGGAGATGCGCACAGCGCGAAACCTCCTGCAGATCTGATGGGTGCGCCCTCAGTCTGTTACAGATATAGCATTTCTTACCAGATTTCCTCCTTTCACACCTGCTTTTCCTGTATGCTTAGTACTCTGTGTTGTTGTCCAAATTATTCATGCGCAGTTTCAATAAAAACACCTCCTTGCGTGGTTATCCTCCCCAACTTCTGCTTCCCTGCACGTGCCCTCATTTCTTACCTATGCAGGTGGCTTTTAAATGAACTCTTTAGGCACCTTAAGCTTCGCTACCTAGTTCTGCTTTCCACTCTATACTTATCCAGATGTGTTAGACAGCTGTTAGTGATGCTTTTTCTGCACCATTTCCTGTAAATGCTGTTTTCTCTCTCTGACTATTTTTCTCCTACAGCTTCACACAGAAGGCTGTCTTTGCACAAAGGCCTGACCCTAAGATAATACATACTACAATGCAGCTAGATAATATTATTACTCTATATAACCCAGCAAGCTAATACTATCACATATAATATAACATAACTCCACACAAGTCAACTGATCTCAACCAAGTAACTGAAGGTGGCTGCAGTAAAGCACCTGATGATGCCCATGGGTTAAAAACATCAAACACAAGAGTTTCATCCAAGTATTAAAAACAATCCTTATTTGAGTTAGTACGGTTACTTTTGAGCCTCTAAAAATTGAGAGGGTGACTGTGTATAAAACTCGAAATTATTCTAAATTCAGAAGTTTTGTAAAACTCCTTGAAATAAAGCTGAAAGAAAGATGGGAGGAAATGCAGCTGCAATTACACTGTCACCATCAGGTGGCGCTGCATGTCAGTCTGTTAAAGCAGCTTCCTGCCGTCCTGGACACGACGCAAAACAAAGGTCCACATATATTGCACAAAATATCAGAGGATTTGTTGCTGTGACTTGTCTCAGAGTTGACTAAAAAAAAAGTCCGTTTTAACTAATGAACTAATTAAACTTTAGGAGGAACGTGAGCAGGAACATTAAACAAACGCGGAGCCGCTACTTTCTGGATAACAAAGTTTCTCCGTGGTGTCTAATACCGCAGTATGCTGAAGCAGTTAGGTTGGGTGCTTACCTGTGGAGCTGGAGGGTCTCGCAGCTGCAGTGAGCTTTAACTGTGGATTCAAACGACGCTGGTAGTAGTAAGCGTAGCGTCACATGTTCCGTCCGCTATTAGGCTGGGTAGTAATGTGGTCTATGCCACACCCACCTTTATAATGAACGCCAAGCAATCGCATCTAACCTGCTTCACCCCCATGCTTTGTCTAATCTGTTCATTCTTTAAAGGTCAAAAGTGAAAGACACGCTGATCCTGCTGCAGGCTGTTGATGTCAGAAAATTAGGGCTCTTCTGCTTGTTTCCTCGTTGAAGTATCTTGAAGTTTGTGACTTCACAGCATTGTTTCAAAAACCCTTGTCTCCAGAGAGCTGGCCAAGAGAGGGAGTAGCTGTGCTTCAAGGGCTGTGGAAGACCAGTTGTGCCACAACTCTCCTCATGTCATTATTGTCGGTCCACCTATGTGCATCAGCAGTTTGTAACGAATTTTCTTATAACTGCACACCCCTTCAGACTGAATTCAACTCATCTTCCAGTCATAATCTTTTATCACAAGGCCAACATGTCCTGTTTGTCCTGTCTGTTCCCAGCACACAGACAGAAACAGCAGTGAAAGGATGAGATATTTTGCAAGCTGCTTGAGGAAATAAACGACTTTATTATCCCAAACTGAAGATTAATGTACAATTTGTTCAATATGAGTCTTTGAGAAATCTTTATTTGTAACTTATATTAGCGTTCTTGTTTTTTTTCCCACCTTTGAGCCTACATACATTAATACCCAATTTTCAGTTGGCTATTGTTTTATTTCCATGCTTTCCATTATTTCATCCACCTGAAACTTTTTTTTTACTTTTTTTGACTGTTTGAATGTTTGCTATTTGTGTGACACACTACTAAAATTATAAAAACCATACAGTGCTTGGTTGAGACGTAATAGTTCAACAACAAAAGTTTAGCTATACCCCCCCCCCCCCAAACAAAAATGGTTTGGTCCAGCCCACCTCTCCCCTAACTGACTCTAGCGCCCTTTCTGCCAGAGCGATGGTGGCCGAGACGCAGCAGAGCGGATGTGTGAGTGCGTAGCTTAAAACAGGACATGTTAGCTGCATTTAACCTTCAGTTACTCTTTATATAGGTAGAAGGCAGACCATGTTTCTTTTTAGCTGAAAAACATTACACCCAGGTAACCTGCAGTGTTGAAAACGTTGTTTTCGACGGTATGTCTGTGAAGGTTCTCAGTCATCCTGTACAGCATACACTAATTGTTAAGTTTGTGTTTAGGAGTTTTGTCATTCGGATGAACTGGTTTTTGTCTGAGTGTGTTGCTGGGTCTGTAATACACTGGGATGTCGTGCTTGGAGAAAAGTTTGTAGCGAGGAATGCCCAGACCTCTACATTGGAGAGACCAAACAGCCACTTCACAAGCGCATGGCACAACATAGAAGAGCCACCTCCACGGGACAAGACTCAGCAGTCCATCTGCATCTAAAGGACAAAGGTCACTCTTTCGAGGATGCCAATGTTCACATTTTGGACAGAGAGGACAGATGGTTTGAAAGAGGAGTGAAAGAAGCCATTTATGTCCACTGTGAGCGACCATCTTTGAACAGAGGCGGTGGTTTACGACACCAACTGTCTGCCATCTATAATCCAGTTTTGAGATCCCTTCCCAGACGCCTTAACGCCCACTCACATCCTGGGCCATCTGACCTCAGGAAATCACATGATAGGGTGGGGCCAGGTTTCACAATGAGCTCACCCGAAACCCTGGCTGATTGTGACCCACACCCGTTTTCACACCTTGGCTCATGTGATTAGGTAGAGGATCATCAGGGGGTCCTTTGTCCCTCTTTGGGGGGAAACTCCCACTGGGTTTAAATCTGGGACTCTCCACCATTTGACCCTAGAACTGAAGAAGCTTCTCGGATGAGAGGTGAAACGTCTTCAAGCAACTTAAAGAAGTCCAGATGCTTTTCTTTCCAAGCTCCTTAGACTTTTACGACGATGTTTGCTACCCTACAGTCCGTTGGTTATTTTGTCATGTGACGATATTAAACCCAAGGTACTAACTAGCTAACTGACTGGATGCCCATTAACCTTATAACTCCTGTTGTGTGTGTGTTTGTGTACAGAGAGACAGCCAGGTTCATAATGGATATAAGGAAGTTTTTTCAAAAAAAGGAGCCACATTCAGGTAAAAGTGTAAAATCAAATGATCCGTCAATCAAGAATAATGTTGGATCAGTGTTTCAATGTTTATATCTTTTATTAGATGTTCATGTGGTTTGGTTATTTGCCTTTTGGTTGAAAGTACACTGAGAGAGGACTTTTTGTTAGTGATCTTAATAGTATTTTTTTCATATTAATGTAATTTTTCATCTAATTGAATACAATCTATTTGTGTATGATTGTCAGTCCAAAGAGGGAGAGAGGAAAGAGGGGAACGTGAGGAGAAAGTACAAGGTCAGGAAGAACCAGGTAAGAAAACAGACAGGGAACAGTGACAGGCACAACAGAAACTGTTAAACTGACAAAGAAAAAAAGACTGAATTTTACTCATACAATCAGGAAGTTGTGTTCTCCATATATTAAAGCTGCTATAAGGAATCTGAAAAACAAACCGGGTTGATACATTTTTTTTGACCCTCTTTAACAACATTCCAACATAACATTATCATTGATTGGGGAGATTAAAATTATTGATATATTTTAATGTGGTTCAGCCAAAACTCTACTAAAACCGCAGCCAATAATAGGTAGGCCAACTTTTGGACCATCTAGTTGTCTTTATGACTGCTGTAGTACATGCACCACATTTGCGCATCAGAAAGTGCCAAACAGTGAGAAAATATCAAGCTCTCCCAAGTACCACTATGAAAGCATGAAACTCATAAATCTTACAACACAAAATTCCAACCTGTTACTAAAGTGAAAAGTCACATAGGTTAAAATAAAAGAAAAAATCTAAAAGATCCCTTCACCTGAACTCGTCCAACTTCGACTGACTCCTTCACTACAGCCCTTTTTATTGTCACATACATGAATATGCGATTGCAAATACACGTGACATTCTCAAGCAGGCATATCTGCATCAATGTATCTGTATTCTGTGTGTGGGGATGTGTGTGTTTTCAGCCATACCATACATAGACCTACGACCTTTCAATGAACTTAATGTGTGTGTGTATGAGGTATGGAGAAAAGCTATGCAGATAAGCATCTTGCTAAACGATAAAAACAGGAGCTTGCAATAGTTCATGTCTCAAATGAACATTTAAAGGTGTGAAGTCTCACTTTTATAGAACAGAACAGTCTGGTTTCTAAAGCTATAACGGAAATTATAATGTCGAGGCTGCTTCCTCTCATCTCATGGTACACAAGTGCAGACCTGATCAGACCTAATAATGAAAATGATTTTTATCAGCATACAAATGATTATATATATCTAAGCATAAATGACAATATAAAAAATCTCAACTCTCACAGATAGAATGTCTGACCCTTAGTAGTCTGCAAAGACTATGTGTGGTATGCCAGGACACTCTGGAAAAGAGTGAACGTACTCCTCTTTTATGGTACACAGAGTGTCCTGGCATACCACACATATTCTAAGGTCATGAGAGAGGTCGCACCTTCTCTTTCTGATATGTGGTATGGTAAACGCATCTATATCTGTTTGAGTATAAGAGCCTTTTGTTTAGGTGAACTGCTGGACTCCCTAGTGCCAGCAGGTCTGGGGAGCCTTCGCAGGGTCACCTTTTGACACACACACATACATAACACTTCTATTTTTGGAGTGTATTTTTTATGTATCTGTATTATATTATACATACACATTAAAAGTGAATCTCTGTCCAAAAAATGCACTCACTTTACTTCTTACTCACTATGAGCATCATTCATTATTCTCCCCCAGTAATTAAGATTAGGATACGTATTTTTTTTTATTCCAATCCATTCTTCTTTTGCAGTAGTAGTCTTTTAAGATTATTTAAATAACCTTTATCAGATTTGATGGTTTTGTTACAGAC